AGTAGTTAAAGCAGCTGATAACACGTGTACTAACACAAAACACTGACAACCATTGTAGTTAAAGCAGCTGATAACACGTGTACTAACACAAAACACTGACAACCATTGTAGTTAAAGCAGCTGATAACACGTGTACTAACACAAAACACTGACAATCACTGTAGTTAAAGCAGCTGATAGCATGTGTAGAGGAATGTTTGAAACATAATATAATTAGAACTGATGATGAAAATTAACTCATTATTTTACAACAATTCCGTATTGCTATATAACGTACAACGTGAGTGGGTAAGGAAGTGTGATAATAGGCCCACAGTGGAGAAAGGTACACACACCACCTTCGTCAACATCTATCTGTATGAGTAATACTTGTTCAAAACCAGCAATCGCACCAATCAAAAAGGGCATTCACGGATATAACAAAAGTATATTCAGCAGTCCAGCGCTTTACAACGGGGAAGATACTGTCGAATTTAAGGGAAAATTCCTGCTCTATATAACCTAATTTCAACAGCGTGAGATCGAGGCTAAACTGCCAGCCACGTCTATAGGCGATTGAAGAAAACAACGTACATTCCTTGCAAGCTAGTAACTGGGCTGATAAACCTGTTTCTTCAACACGTCCTACATATTCTAATTTAACGTAACCACTTTATGTTACAAATTAACACTGGAGAACCTTAGTTTCTGTTTCCTCACATTCAAGACTTTTATATCCAAATCATTCAAGCCAGTTGTGAATAAATCAATTGTATGACGTGACGTATATTATTCTGTACGGAAAAAAAACACAAAAAAACTTAGTTCTCTCTACAAATCTAAATTTACAAGGCGTCGAATCACTACGGCAAACCAAACACAAGTGACGTTAACTTCGACAAATAGTTTATAAATCAGTCAGTGCTGAAGAAAAACCATCCGGACTGACGTTCTGCGATTAACACTTGTTTTATTGTAACATAACTTTCTTGTAATACAGACTACAACTATTAACTAACTATATGATCGTAATGATTTTCAATACTTCATTTCAACCTTCCACAACACACTGAAAGAAACTCGACCGCTCGCGCCAGTTTATAACAATAATTAAATATAACATATATTCAATAGGTTCGTGATGCAAACAATTGTCTGGTATACATGTAAACTAAATAACTTGTTCAGACTGGTCGCTATATTGGCCCTGTTCAGCAAGGGATAAATTAGTATGTGCAATACAAAATGACCGCATAACGAAGGTATTATCCTCTATAAAGAAGTTTCAGGCTTAACATCTCCTGTAGGTGTAACTTCTTACAATAGATGTCTTCAAATACAATCACGGATTTTAGCAGGGTCCTGAACTTAAAATGGACAGAAGGGTTTTTAACCATATGGCGGCGAAACCAGTATTTACTTACCTTCGTCGATCGGTAGATGGGGCTGATTGGCGGCTGGTAACCGATTCCCGGATAGTGCACCCGTGGCTGCGAGACTCTTGCTACGGCACACATGACGTTCACTCGTATTCCTTACACTGCCACGACAGACGGAGAGTGCCAACTCTAAACACGCCTCCTCCTTTTTATCATCAACTCTGCCTTTATTACAGCCATACAGCACACTCTAAAATTAAAGCTCCAACACAGAAGCTCAAGTAAGTTCACGTGACTTCATACGACACGCCTACTAAGATTATTAACTCGTTTTCCTACGTCATATATATTTTTATAGAAGCGTCGAAACTTCAATTCCCTGAAGGCACACCACTCGAAAAACTACTTTGAGACAACAGGAATGAAACACCGATGTACGAGTTCGTTAAGTAGAGCGCCACCTGTCGAACTTACACAAAAATGAGGCCAATTGTTACAATACGTAACGTGTCTTGTACATGAGGTGAAGCTTTCGATAAGTATACAAAACCTTTAGAGTGACGTCACTAAGAAATATTTCTACAAATAAACAATTTACGAATTAATTCATTGTCTAAGAGTAATGCCTAATACAAATTTGGTGTAATTTACAACAAATAACAAAAAAAGGATATCACGTGCATGGCAAGCACGTGTCTGGTTAACAGTACTTTGACAAAATAGTGTAGAGAAGAAAGCGTAGCGGACATCGTGTTATTTTCACTAATGAAGGTTGAGATTAGTGTAAACCACGTGTTATTTCCACTAATGTAGGTTGAGATTAGTGTAAACTACGTGTTATTTTCACTGATGTAGGTTGAGATTAGTGTAAACCAGTGTTATTTTCACTAATGTAGGTTGAGATTAGTGTAAACCAGTGTTATTTCCACTAATGTAGGTTGAGATTAGTGTAAACCACGTGTTATTTCCACTAATGTAGGTTGAGATTAGTGTAAACTACGTGTTATTTTCACTGATGTAGGTTGAGATTAGTGTAAACCATGTTATTTTCACTAATGTAGGTTGAGATTAGTGTAAACCACGTGTTATTTTCACTAATGTAGGTTGAGATTAGTGTAAACTACGTGTTATTTTCACTGATGTAGGTTGAGATTAGTGTAAACCAGTGTTATTTCCACTAGTGTAGTTTGAGATTAGTGTAAATCACGTGTTATTTTCACTAATGTAGGTTGAGATTAGTGTAAACCAGTGTTATTTTCACTAATGTAGTTTGAGATTAGTGTAAACCAGTGTTATTTTCACTAATGTAGGTTGAGATTAGTGGAAACCACGTGTTATTTTCACTAATGTAGGTTGAGATTAGTGGAAACCACGTGTTATTTTCACTAATGTAGGTTGAGATTAGTGTAAACCAGTGTTATTTTCACTAATGTAGTTTGAGATTAGTGTAAACCAGTGTTATTTTCACTAATGTAGGTTGAGATGATAACAATTAGTACGTTACTTCCTTACGAGTAATCTTTACTGAGACACGTAATTAGGTTATTGCCACGACCTTAACTTTTGTTCATCTATATCAACAACTTTCTGTTACCCTAACATTTCATAATGGTTCCATTGAGGGACGACTGGTCTAATTATGTGTAACGGTGTCTCAGCGGTTAGTCTGCAGATTTACGACACCAAAATTAAGTAGAAAATTTATTCAAATATATCAAACACAAAACGCGAAAGTACGTTACTGTGGGAAAATAAAGTTGAACCAACTATTGTGTTAAGTATCGCGTGAAATTTGTTACCCGGTGTTCTGTGTAAAAGTGACTGTGTGATTTCACCTGTACATTAACTCAACCAATTATATGAATCCTTATGACCACTACACTTTGAAAATTGTCTGCTGTCTATGTTTATCTTATATTTGACCTTGTCTACGATTGATCGAAACTGAAGGAATATTTTAACTGTAATACGAGTTTTAATTCTGAAAGTCCGCATGTTTTGTTGTTGTTTGTAACCCACAGTAAAAGGTACTGGTATCACATTCGATTATGTTGATATAGAGTTAAACACGTAGAACATACACAGACGTTTGGAGTCGTGAGTTTCAGATCAGACACTAATTAGTTACTGACCTCACTATTTCTCTAGTGACTAATTGAAACACGTTAAAATACCAAACCAACGACTGGATACCCACCAGGGGGCACTACATATATAACGTATCTCTGTATACTATTCAAACCCTGTAACAACAACAAGAAAAACTTAAAAGAAAATGAACTCTTCAACCTGACAACCAATGTTTGTTAAAACGTCAGGAGCTGTTTATTGGTTCAACTTAAAGAATCAATATTCCGTATATACTCATCTTGCCTTATCTAAAAAACAGATAAGGAAGTCACCAGATGGCACTTCTATCTTTATTGTAACATCTAAAGCTGCAGTAGAATAGATGGTTCCCTTGGCAACCTCAGTTTTCAACTGGTGCTGTACAGGGCTAGACTGGACTACCAGTGGGGCATTATTTATTAGATTGTTATCCAGGTGTAGTGGAAAGCCATGATGTTCAAAAACAATGTAGGGATACAACACAGAAAGATAAGTAGAAAACAATGTAGGGATACAACACAGAAAGATAAGTAGAAAACAATGTAGGGATACAACACAGAAAGATAAGTAGAAAACAATGTAGGGATACAACACAGAAAGATAAGTAGAAAACAATGTAGGGACACTACAC